CAGCCTACAGCCTAGAGAAGAGAAGGCTTCGGGGAGACCTTATTGCAGCCTATCAGTGGGGGCTTATAAAAAAAGATGGTGGCAAACTTTTTAGCAGGGCCTGTTGTGACCCAAACTATTCTATGATTCTATGAATTTGTCTGTGGACTAATAACTGAGTTAAAGAGGAAACAAAATGGTAAAAAGAAACAACCAGTTTTTGCAGGTAGTGGTATAGTCCTAGAGTGATCTGTCATGGAGCTTACGTTGTTCAATATACAGAATAATACTCTGGAAAAAAGGAATGATAGCTGGTAAAGAAATTTTTATATGAAACAATGATTTTAAGACAGTTAAAACTGACCTTGAAGTGTTGTAGAAGAATCTCATAGTACCGAGTGAGGTGATAGAATGGAGGTTTATATTCAGCATTAAAGTTGATTACATTGTAAAGTACATTACTTCTGAGTTGGACTTTGTTTAATTATTACTAATTAAGATGTCTCCAAAAGCATAAGCTTATGGCTTGTTCACAGTGGAAAAGGCAAATTGATTGTTAGAAATCCTTCAGAAGATAACAGAAAACAAAATATTGTGCCGTTATCATAATGCTATTATATAATTGATACTACCCCATCTTGAGTATGACACACAGTTCTGCACACCCCATTTCAAAACCAGGATGTAGAACTAGGAAAGATACAGGAAAGAGTATATAGTAGCAATTAGAAGCGTGGAACAACTTGAATTTGAATCTTCAATTTGAAAACAAAACAATTGAGAGCAATATGAAAGATTCTGTAATGAAAACGGTAATGGTAAACGGAAAGCTGTCTTTTTGTAATGCAAACACTAGTAAACGCCACATTAAATTAAATTAAACAATACAAAGTGTTTTTCTTTCACATAATGCATAATTAAATTAGCCAACTCATTGCCACAGGATATTGTGAATGCCAAACTACAATATGTTTTATGAAGAAAATCAAAGAACTTAATAGTATAGAAGTACATGAAAGAGAATTAAACTTGATGGCTTCAATATGGTCTCCATCTCAGGATAGCCACTAGTTACCAGAAGCTAGCAAGGATGTAACAGGGGAAAAAAAGTCAGTCTGTATCTTATTTTTTCATCGTGTATTCCTAAATCCTACTTATTATTGGCCTCTGTAGAGTTACAACTTAAGCTGCAATTGACAGTTGATAAGGGAAGGTGGGTGAAATAAAAATAATTCCTATTACAGCAAATGAACACGTATACCCATCCATCCCTTCACATTCAGCTCCAGATACTCCTCCTCCACTTTATTCTTTTCCCCTGGTACCTACTGTGAATAATGGTTATTCCTGTGTTGCTCAACTTGATCCTCATACTGTTTTCCATGCTTTGTGCCTGTGGAAGTTCAGGGGGAGTTCCTTGTGAATGCTCTGGGGAAAGGGTGGGGAATAGGGAGTAAAAGAACATACTGTTCACACACAGCTTGTTTTGTCGTGACAGTACTATGTTTCTTTTCTGTCCAAGAGCAAGAAAGTACTTCATTTGGAAAAAGCATCTGATTAAATTGGTTTAATTTTAAACTATTAATTGAATAATGTTAACAGTGTACTTGAAAAAAGCATAGACTACTGTGTGGGAGGAGTATTTACCTATTAGGAGGGTTTTGCAGTCTACGTTTAATTCCTTGTGAGCAGTTTAAAACTACTTTGGGTGTAACTACACAAATTGCAGCTACAGATTGATTGCAATGTAGACATACCCTACAATATAGTTTTCTTGACTTCAATCTCAAGGAATGCTGTAATGTATAGCATAGTATGATGAAAGTTTCCAATAAGTTTCAATTTTGAGAATTACGAGTCTTTTACATTTTAAAGATGTCGAGTTCAGTCATTAAAAGGAAAAATCTATACAAAACTTTGCCTAAGAATGAGAAACTTGCAACATTTATTTAGAAATCTGAGGTTTTATTTGTCTATTTCTCTTTAATAATTATAAACAACATAGAGTGTTTTTAAAAACAAGATGATGAAAATGAGTTCTTACATCAGTCTTGCTTCTTTTCTGCATTGAATAATGAGTGCTTGTGGATATTAAATGTAACTTTTTATGTTCACAGAAGCTCAAATCAGATTTCTTAAGGCAAAGTTACGTGTTATGCAGGAAGAGCTGGATAGTGTGGTGTGTGAATGCAGGAAAAAGGTAAGAGCTGAGTTTTCTTATCTGTAGAAGTGGAGTAGGTTCCCCTTTAAGAAATGATCACAACAGAATTCCCTCACTTTTCCTTTTCAAGTATTAAGAACTAAGATTCTTTTTTTTTTTTTTAATTTCCTAAGAATTTAGAGTCAAGAATAGTAATTTCTGTATAAATGGGGTCTTGGGCTAAAAGCTTGTGAAATATACTTAATGAAAAAGAAGTTGAGGCAGGAAAGAACCACAGGGAATGAAGACGTGCCCCAGCTGTAGGGGCACTGTGGTGCTGCAGAATGCCCTAGCCATCACTGCTGGGAAGGAGAGCATTTCCAGAGCCTGAGAAAGAGGAGGAGGATACGGTAGCAGTCAAATACAGATTTTGGTACACAGAGAGAAGACGAATGGTGCCCAGAGCTGGGTGATGGGAGGAGAGGGATGTTTAGGGCAGAATGAGAAATAAAAAAGCTTGAGAAATTTAGTCAGGTGCTTTGGGTGTCCTTGGTAGAAAAAAGTGTGGAAACTGCTGATCTGTGATCCACTTTAAGTGGAATATTGTAAGCAAAACAGAAGTCAGGCTTTCTCCATTCTCAAGATTACACTTGCTGCGAAGGACTGTATTTGGAATTACATATTTGGACAGATCAGGCTGAAGTTAAGGCAGTGTGAATCTACACTGATATTTTACTGTTAGAGTGTACTACAAGTGAGTTTTATGATCTGCACTGTCTGGCAATATGTTTTCAGGTGATGCTCAAACATCTCTTGAACTGTAAAACCTTAAATAGTTGGTGTCTGTCTGCCAGAGGGATCACCTTTTTTTCATGCATTTGTAATCAGGCAAGGCTTTTGAACTAGCTTTCCATTTTACACAATTAGATTATTCTTAGTTGTGGTCTCAACTTCAGAATGCTTTTTTCCACCTATTCCCCAGGCCCAAATGTGATGATGACATTCAGAACATACGGCAAACCACTTACATGTTTTCTCTCAAGCTTTTAATTTAGAGTTTAGGAGCAGGGTGATACTAAATAAGTTTTTTGAGATAGGTACCTGGAGAAAATCTTTAGAAGGAATTACATTTTGATATTTTATATCTGTACTTTATTTCATTTTTATCAATACAGTTGCTTCTGCATTTCAATACTTTTATGCTGTGATCAGAAGAAAGTTGTTACATTGCATTTTAAAGACATTTTCATTTTCAAATCAAATGCAATTTTGTCAGTAGCTATTGAACTTCATCATTCCATGCCAAAAATACTGCAGAATTCAGTTACTATAGCAGATGACAGAAGACAACCTTGTACCTATTCTTGTCCTGCTCCCATAGCACTCTGTATGTAAATGTATCATTTTTGGGTACTAGTTTCTCTGGTGTGAAAATAAAGTTATTACATTCAGAAGGTCACAAAAATTTCATATTGGCAAAGCGTTGAGATAGCTGCTGGGTTTTGTTCCAATTCACAGTCCAAGTATTATAAGGAATGAGTAAATCTGTTTTAGATATAAAGAAGTGGGAGTTCCTAAGGTGCATGCGGTCACATGAAACTTAAGGTAAAGCACATACATTTCCCAGGTGAGAAGCATGTATTCCTAGGGGCTGAGAGGACAGAAGAGAAAGACTTGTTTTCATAGAAACGCCATTTCTGTATGTGCCTTGATTTCTTAAAGAAATGAAGGGCATAATGTATCTCTGAAATAATCTACATTATTATTCATTTATAATGTTTACAAGGTTATAAAAGAAAAATGCCTTGAAATTATAATGCTGAATGTGGAATGTAATTGCCGGTAGGTCATGAAGCTAATACAGGATTCACTTGATGTTAAGAGAATCTCGAATTTGAACACTTGATGTATCCTGGATCATTAGCTTGCTTTTAAGTCAAAACCAGATAATCTCCTAAAACATAATGGATTGATTTATCACTAATTACAGTCTCTTCTTTTTCCCCGAATTTTTCCTAATGTGCACATTTAGCTATTCTCACAAAAATGTCACAAAATATCTATGTGCCACTGTTATTCATATTATTCTATAACATTTTGATAGTTCTCAAAACCTTTGAACTATGAGAAATTAAATGTTTTACATACTGCTACAAGACAGTTCCGAGTAAAAGACCGCAGAAAATTAAATGAGAAAAGTGTTAGCGTTTTTTGAGGTATTTTCCTGGTAAATTGGTGTTTAGTTTTCTTAGTTTGTCTTAGTTGTTTCCTTTCTTAAAATTGTTGTGAAATCCATCATGAAGGATCTAAACATTTAAAAATAACATAATTTTTAAAAATCGGTACCTCCATATCTACAGTATGTGTATTTTTACTGCCTTTTATTTACAAAACATTACTATCGCATTATCCTACTGCTTCCTTGCAATAATTTAGCTGGGTTTTTTTGCTGATTACTGTCGAACAGAACGATGAAAATCAGAATTTAAAATCTCGGCTTAAAGATACTGAAGAAGAAAACACCAGACTGCAACGAACAATCAGTATGCAACATTCTCAGACTGAAAAGTACAAAATGTTGTCACAAGAAGCAATCAAAAAAAGTGGAGGGTTACAACAAGAGGTCATTGCGCTAGAAAAGGTATTGCAGATATTAGTCTCATTTATCTCACGAAAGGGAAGAAAACGCATCAAATCACCCTCTGTACCCTAATTTGATAGATTCATATCCAGTGATCCCATTAGCATTTCAATCTCTGATAATAGTTTTAGAAATTGTATTTTTAAATGGTCTAATCACTTTTTTAAAGGAAGAAATAATATTTTATGCTAATTGATTTTCTTCTGCTTCTACAGTCATATATTTCTGTATTTTAAAATGAAATTCTTCTATAAAAGGCCTGCAAGAGACAAAACAACCTTTTCAGAAACTGCTGTCAAATTCAAAGGCATCTTGAAAAATACAGGGAAATTTTATTTTTCTGGTTTTAATTATCATTGTTAAAAATTACTTCTGGTAATAAGAGTTTTATTGTAAACTGTAGAACCTGGTGAACATTTTGGAAAAACCACCTGCAGCTTATATTAGTATCTTCTGCAGGTAGAGGAAAAGATGTTCTTGAAAATGGACTGTTTGAAAACCAGCCGCTCCAATTTGGATGAATCAAAATTAACCTGGCTCCTGCTGTAGGCCACATATGCAAAATTGTATACATGCCTAGTTGTAGCAGATGGCCTGCATACACAGCTTTGTTTGTTTGGAACTTAATCTAAGAGCAGCATGTGTTTTTCTTTAATTACTCAGAGCTAGAGAGGTTGACTTCAAAATCATGTAATACATATAGTATTGTGTAGTACATGTAATATAACCAGGAGAACGTTTCACTTAAAAATTTGGGGAAAACAGAACACAACTCAGCCTAACGAAGTCTCATTATACTTCCATTAAATCATACTATGCATTTGTTTAGGCATGCTTTCATCTTAACGTTATGTAGTTCTGGCATTTAAAAACTAAAATGTTCTAAGTTTGTGTGTTCTTTTTGTGCAGATACTTGGAGGTTTTAAGTTCCCTTAAGTAAGTACCCTGATTGTTGATTCTATCAGGAAAAATATTCAATAGTAGTACTCATGCTACTCATGGGCTCACAGTAAATTGGGCTAAGAGACTTACAAAGTCATTCAGTCCGTTCTTTTAAACCAAGACAGGATAGATTATATCCAAACCATCTTGGACATAAGTTTGTTTAACCTGTACTTAAAGCCTTCTGTGATGGCAATTTCCATAATTTCCTTAGACAGTCTATGCTGGTTCTTGTACACAGTCACAGTTAGAAAGTTTATCGCAGTATGTAGGAGATGTCGTGATGAAAAGTTTATTCACTTCTGCTGTACGGCTACCATATCCAAGTCTGGTCGCTTTCCTCACTTGTCTTTGCTCTGGATTTACCATCCTCAGTTGCTTCAATGATTCCTAATAGGTTGTGTTTTCTAGAATTTCTCAAGGTTACTGATCAGACATGATCATGAGACATAGTGGCAGTTCTTTAAAATACTGAGAAGGCAAAAAAGGCAGGTATATGTAATGAATGGTTCTCTGCTAATTCAGGAGTTATTTTACATATTTTTTCTGATAGAAAAAAATTATCTAACCGCCAAAAACATGCATTTAGAAATCATTTTGCAGTAACTGCTTAAATCTCCTATAGACTTAGCAATCTGAAAACTGTTTTATTCTTTAGGTATGAAGTATTATTCAACGCTATATAATTAATGTAGTTGTAGCTTAATTCTAGACATGTTTAAAAACAATTTCCTGTGAACATGGCACTGAATTTGTACTGCTGTGCCGCCAAACTCTCAAGACTCATACTTTCAGTCTAGCGAAAGTTTTCTGTATAGTTGAGATAGCACAAATGTAACATCTGATTTTTGGGCTTTTATTACTTTTGTTGTGATTTCTGTTGCAACATAAATAATAGAAGACTTACATCGTGATACATGCTTTCCCAAGCTTCCTTAGATTATCAACAATTTATGCAATTTCATTAATCCCCCAGCTGCTTTTTTTGTATGTGCCTAGGCAAAGATTCTCACCTAGTTTTCACAGTTTGCCTGAAACATGGTAATTAGTTTGTTATTTTTACATTTCATTCTTTTGGTGTTTGGGCTCGGTGAACATTTCTGCTGGAACACCCACCTCAGACAGCAGCTAAATTCTGATGCTCCCCTAAACTTCCATCCTCTTCTTTCCAGCATTCCTCTTTTTTTTCCCCCATCTAGTTAATCAAATAAATGATACCACCTCTCCTGTCTTTTTTCACCACCTGTCTACAAGAACATTCCTTCCTCTGTGTTCTCTCTCACTTGTTAATTCAATCTAGCTAATAATGTTGGATAAAGGTCAAGGAAACACCAAAGTTGTGCTCTTAGTCCTTTTAAGGCTTTGTGCAGGGATTTTATAATTTGCCTTGAAGAAGGGCTTGATGTTAAGCAAACATACTCTCTCAAATGTTTTTGGGGGTGGACAGGTGTTGCTGAGCTTTCTAAAGATGGAAGTGCTGTGTATGCTTGCTACTGGGAGGAAAGAAAGCCTGCTGGGAGGGTTACTCCTAGACAAGCTCCCTGGTGTCACACCCCCTACTGATAATCAAGTGCCTCAGCTACTCCAGGACAGTGGAGAACATCCAGAGGTTGAAATGGGATGCAGTTTTAGAACATAGTTTTTTCCCCTCTTAGAGAAGCATTACATGAGAAAATTAATCCAGCTTTTATTTAAAGTATTGAAGAATTGGCAGAAACCTTGCGTACTTACCAAGTAAAATACTTATTTCAGGCAGTTTTAAGATGAAGAACTTGCAGTTGAATATATTTAACAATATACCCTCACTGGATGACTTGCAAGAAATCCTTGATAAGGTATTAGGTATGACAGTAAATGTCAAAAAGCCCTAAAAGAATTATTAGAATTCTTCCATTAAATGATACGATTAGCTGATACATAATTTACATTGCATGCAGACTATTTTTTTTGTCATTAAATGCTTGAAAGGCTATATTCCAAAGCTTTTCATATTAATGCAGAATGAAATACATAGCACGAAAGATTTAGTTGACCCTATTCACAGCTCCATCATCTTGATACAAGACAAAGAGGTTTGCATGCTGTGCAGCTTGTTTTCTTTGGAAACATGGGGGTGAGTTTCCAGCAAACAAATTTACATTCCCTGATGATGCACGTGCACATGTCCCAGGGAGGAGCTCTGCTGCCCTACTAGCCAGGCTTTTACCCATCTTTTTTTAATCAATCAGGTGCACAGGTTAGCAACAAAATAAAATGTTGAAGCAACATCTGTTTTTGTGAACTCTTGAAGGAGGCACATTCACCAATAGAATTCTGGAGGATTAGCGAGATGCATCTTACTCTCCTGTTTTCTTCATCCATTTTGGAGAAGATTCAAAGCTTACCAGAAATACGTGTTCCAGTCATAAACTTTACCATAATGTCTGTGCTGCATACACTTGTCAATTAGTATGTATTTCTTGGATAAGTGATGTGGAAATTAGAAGTAACCACCACAAGAGCTGGTGTGGAATTGAGAAAATAGAACAATTACTCGGAAATAACACAGCCTGAGGGTAAAAGGTTAACAACAAGCCCCCTCTCTACCCTGATTTGGTTAAAAGAATCTTTCTGTGCCTATGACTAAAAATTTGATAGTCTTAAAAAAAAGTCTATCTCTTTTTCACAAATGACAAGATGTGCTCTTTCTGCCAGAACTGTTTATTTCTTCTACTTTGCCTTTTATCTATATTCCCTGATCTTTAATCTCATTATTCTGTTCCTCAACTTGGTCTCTTTTTCTCATTTCCCCACTTACAGCACTGTGAAATACTATCATCGGAGACAAAAGGGAACTGTTTTGATTGTTGCCATAAACACTTGATGAGCTATTTTCTGCTAGATGAAATAGTTAGTACCCTCAGCCATCTTCAGTAGGCTGTTTTAACTTTTTGTTGGTAATTGCCTGTAGCAATCTCTGGGGAAAAGAGGTAAAAAGAACAGGTGGGAAGAAGCAGCTGGGAATACCTGCCACCGTTCCAAAATCTGCCACAGAGTGAACATACCGACATGTTTTTCTCTTTTTCTGACTGAGCGTACAAGGGTTTTCAGTCAGTCCTGTGGTCTTACATGATCAGCTCCACAATTATTCTAAGAGAAGTTTAAAACAAAGATGAGAAAGATCCCTTTCCAAGATTTCAAAGGAGAAGGGGATGTTTTAATGGTGGAATTAATGGTCTTTGAGACAGATTCTACCTGCAGGCCAAAGAAGTCCACAGACTCTTTAAGTTTTCAAGGGTGAGCCTTGCTGTAAATGTGTTGTCTATATGGGAGTCAATAAAATACCATTATTCATAAAGTTTGTTTTTATCCTTTGCTTCTTAAATAGGAATTGGAGAATCTAAAGCGTGTACAAAAGCAGGCCGCAAGCAGTCAGAGTGCAACAGAGGTTCGCTTAAACAGGGCCCTGGAAGAAGCAGAAAGGTATAAAGTGGAGCTGAATACACTGAAGCAAAGTAACAAGGTACAGTGGCTTCGGAAAGCAAGTTCCAATCTGTAAGCGCTCAGTAATGCTAGAATGAGACAAAAGGCTTGATCAGCTTTGGAAGTATTGGGTCTCTTACAGACAGTCCCAAAATTAACTTAGAGCAAGTCACTAAAGGGCTTGATAAGTTATCTCGGATGACGCTGCTGCAACCTGTGCAGGAGGAAGAAATGTACAGAATAAAGTTATAGCCTTTCTGATTTTCCCTATTTGTGTGGAAATTAGATGTGTTTAGAAAAAGGGAGAAGTACACATACACACCTAATACATACACAGGCAAACCATTGCTATTATCTTTGAGATTTTCTTTTCTTAAGTTTTGATGTGGGAATATTTTGATTAATCCCATTTCTTTTCAGAAATGTCATGTGTGGCTACTGTTTGTCATTTTGTTATGTAATGCCAAGTTTTATTGATTAAAGCACCACTTTCGTAAGTAATACATTTCTCCTTTTCTTCCCATGGTAGGATGTAGCTAACCAAGAACTCAAAACAATTGAAGAATTAAAAACAGAAAACAAGAAACTGCAGAAACAAAAAGGAGAGCTAATGACAGGTTTTAAAAAGCAATTGAAGTTAATTGATATTTTAAAGAGACAAAAGGTAAGGACTAGAGTACTGTTATATTTCAGTTAACAACCTCTAGCTAAATGTGTCTGTTGTCAAGTAAGGTAATCACGTAAACCAGAGCCCCAAGGCTGGGAAGTTTCAATGCAAGGGAGCAGCAGCCTCACTTTTATTAGTGCATATTGCTAACATTTTGCTTTATAGCAAAGGCTGACCTTCTTTTGAATTTACTCCATTCCTCACTTGGAACATATCCTATCAGCGTGAAGGATTACTACTAACAAGCTTTAGGACCGAGAGTATCTATTTGTTCAAGAATAAATACTGTTCAGGTAATAACAGCAACTCCCTTCGGTGCTGTGTCAGTAGAATCCATTTTAGCATGTGAGGTTTTTTGTTTTGTTTTGTTTTTTACTTTTTTCCCTGCAGCATATTACTTGTCATATCAGCGGCTGCAACAGCGTGCCCTCTCAGGAGTGAGCCATTACATTTCAGACCTACGTTCTTCCTGGGTTCTCAAAGTGTGTCCTTCTCTATTAACATATTTTCTTTTTATTTATATTCTGAGGTGTTCTATACGTGTATAATTCTGCCCAGGTGCAGATCTCCTTGTGTGTCAGGCAAAAAAGGGGAGGGGAAAAAAAAAAAAAAAAAAAAAGAGAAAATACTTATCCTAGCTGTGAATTTACTAGATTGAAGGAGGGGAGTTGATCTAAGTATTTAAAAGTATTTAAAAGACGTGTAGATGAGGCTATTGGGGACATGGTTTAGTGGGCATGGTGGTGTTGGTTGACGGTTGGACTCGATGATCTTAGAGGTCTTTTCCAACCTTAATGATTCTATGATCTCCATCCTTTTGTAATTCCTGGAATATCATGCATACTTTGAGTCACACACAATGTAGTAACATCTGCATGGCCGTATGGGTGTTCCCATCCACAGTGCACTTACAGCTACCCTTATTTTTAAAGTTGTTTGATTCTACATTCATTTCATATCTCCCTCCATTCCTCTCCCTCAGGGCATAAAGGGGAGGGCAGTGGCTACTGCCTTTTAGTTTCTTTAGTAGCCGAAGCTGAAACTGAATAGAGGTTAGATAGTAGAATACTTGCTGGCAATTCATGCTGAACAATTAGCGATACGGCTTTCATAGAAAGGTGGTGTAGCGAAAAGTGGATTAATACTTCCGATAGAACATAGCTAAAAATGTATTTAACTATCATATTTGATAAAGTTGTACTGGTGTCCCAAAAAGGAGGGCTGTTTTACTTGGAAGGAGAAACTTTGGACACTGCAGAGTGGGTAAACACCTTATATTTCTCAAAATATATTTTCAGCATAGACCTGTCAAATGAGCTTTCATGGTAAAAATTGAAAGAACCCGTGAGTTTACATGAAAGGAAGTTAAAGTGAGAGGAGTGTATACTAAGAGATGTTGCCCAAATCAAACCACTTTCCACTTACTGACGCATTTAGGTCTTATAGTTCCATCACACCTTTCACTTACTAAATACTTGGGATTGCGTGCTATCATTTGTATCAGTTTTCCTTCTGAGGCTGCGCAAGACATGCAGAGCTATAGGCTTCACAATTGTCTAGATACGATCTTAATATCATAGAGTGGTTCACCTCTGATTGCTTACTCCACCGCATCTAATGTGATTCATTTTGAGATGGAATTGATGCGATTCTTTCTGTGCTCTCAAACCAAAGCTGTAGGAGAGCTAAAGCAAGCAATGTACGGTGACTTGTTGAGCAGAAGGGCCAGCCTTTGAGATAAGAAAGTAAAGCATTTGATTTACCCTTTGAGTACTGCAGTGATCACCAGACATTTTGTAAACACTCTTGAAGCTGTTGAGCCTCCATAGAGAAAGAATAGTTCTGTATGAAGTGGCAAGTTCATGTAACAAAATACACATACTTACCCTAAGAATTGGGAATTGCAATATGGAAATACACCCTTGAATCTGGAATATCTCTCCAACACAGGACAAAGGAGGATAGGTAATTGGAATAAGAGGAACTAGGGCTGCTTATATGTTTCCAGCAGAAGAGAATTTTTCTGGCAGTAACAGGATGCAGAGAAGATCTTGGGGATTCATCTAAGAGAAATAGTGCTAGCTTAGCCTTTGGCTGGCCCTTCTAGCTCTTCAAGTTTATTTTGAGAATGAAAAAACTACAGCTTTCACTCAAAATACACTCTATACATGAGGTAGCTCATTGTCCTCTGGAACATGAATTCACTGAAGTGGGTGTCAAAGAGCAGTATTTCTGTTTGACTGTGAACCAAAACCATAGTCTCAGATAAACTTCACAAAACTTCATTAAATATATTTTTAAAAAATTATGACTACTGTATCAGAACTGCAGATAATAGAGGAAGCCACTTACCTTTTCTTCTAAAAAATGGTATTTACTCACAGAAGAAGAATGCTGTTAGTTGTATTTTCAGAACAGACTATGATTGGAAGAACCTGAAAGAGAATGGCACTAACTCTGCCTTTTATAACTTCTGGAAGTAGGCACAGGGGAAGGGCAGCTAAAGCTTACATGTGCTCAATATATGTAATCACCTGAAGAACTTACAAGTCTGCTTCTCACAAGCCTTTTGTTGAATGAATGAGGAAAACCTAATTTGGGCCATTTGTGTAGTATTTGTGTGGCAGATTCACATGCATGTAGCAGATACAGCAAGCCTGAAGGTGAGAATACGCTACCACATGAAGAATGATAAGAGGAAAAAAAATCCCCAAAAGGTATTAAATATCGGTAGTAGGATGAGTTGCAGCTGGCAGCAAGTAGTTGCTGGTGTTCCAGTTGGTCTCTTCAGACCATTCTCCGCTTGCCTTGAGAGAGAGAATTTAATAGAAAATCTTAGCTTTAAAAGGGATTAAGGGAACTTAGTCTGAGCTTTACAGAGCTGGAGGGTGTTACACTGCCTGTGGGAACTGTGATATGCTTTGTTGTTGTTTTGAACTGACAATAGGTCTAAATACTAAAAAAAAAACCCACAACAGACTCCTTGTAGACATGAATTGTTTCCTGTTCTTCAAAACATAACCATTTTATTAAAATTTGCAGTAAAAACTATTTAGCTGGGACACTTTCCACTTTGAATGATGATAGGTAAAGAGATTATACTCTGGTGTGGGGATGAGGATGTGTGGCACAGCTGTGACCTTTGCTGTGACATCAGCTGGAATGCAGGGAGCTTTCAGGGCTTTCCGGCTGCTGAGCCTTTTTGATTGGTAGTTCTCTGCAAATACACTGACCATTTAGTACTTGTTTTCTCATCAAACCTCGAGGATCCTGATGACATTTTTCCAAGCAATTGCATTATTTGAACAGAAAATAGCTTTGTTATACATTAAAAAGTTCTGTTTGTTCCTTTCAATGTTCCATTTAAAGTAATGTGTTATATCATACGTAGTGGAAATACAAATTCAGACTACTGTATGATTTTTAAACATATACATATGTACATGTGGGGGTCCGTGTGTATATGTGCCATAATGGACCATAGATGTATGGTGTGATACATTGCAACACAGCTACCAGTGGTTAGCTCCAGGTATTTCTCATTAAGGTGTAATACAGTTACTCTTTGTTTTATGCTGATTGTTAATTTTTAATGGTGTTATATTATTTTGTTAAAATCCTCATTTAACATTAAATCACGCATATTAGAGGCGCTAGCACACTGAATCTTCATGATGTATTGGATTTGTAATAGCTTTAAAGTTAAGCTGTATATTGATCAGCTTGAAAGAACGTATACCAGTTTTCTTATACATGTTCTTCAGAGGTTACAAGAGTTGTTGGATTTTCAGTAATTTCCATGTCTCATTAAAACAGATTTTTTTAAAGCCATATAAGCAACTAAGAAAAGCTATTGGTCCTGTTTTACTAGAGCTGAAGTTGCAATGTTTAGCATAAAATTTATCACATTATCCCTACGCTATAAATTTTGGCAGAAAAAGATGAATAGCAGCTTCAGCTTCAACAGGTGAACATCCATCAAAACCATAGTATGAAAAAACTTAATGATAGATTTGAAGTCCCTTTCAGCTATCCCAATTATACAGGATTTTGTATTGGTCATTCACACTATTTTACCTTCTGCTCCTAATTTTTTTTTTTTTTTTTTTTTAAGATGCACATTGAAGCTGCTAAAATGCTTTCTTTTACTGAAGAGGAATTCATGAAAGCTCTTGAGTGGGGAAATTATTGATTCCATAAAAAAACCAACTTCTGTTTAAAATACAAGTCAGATGGTACATTATTTTGGCACTTTATATGAATGCTTGTTAATAGTTAATAACTGTATATCCCAGTGAATTGATTTGTTGATTTTACTTACGTTTAAATCATTTAACTTTTATAAGCCTGATAGCTTGTGTTGTAATATCATATGAAATACAAATTTCTACTGAAGTTTCAGGTCAAACTGTCCATTCTGTAATGAGTGGAGAAGCACAGAGCGTGCAAGGAATATTCCAACAAGTGAACTTTGTTACCAGTTACAGTTTGCTCTGTTTTAGTATTTAAAACTACACCTTATCTAAGGTAATATTCAGTCCAAAGAAGTCAGGGTTTAGTCTCGGAAAATTCCTTGTTGCGACAGAAATAAATCAACCAGTGATCCAGTTGAGAAGAAAATGTCATGTCCTTTTTGAAACGCGTGGTTGGAAAATCGGCCTTGTCTGTTCTCTGTAACAGATCTCCCCTCAAAGCTAGTTGGTCTGGCATCTAATTTAAGCACCAACAGCTCTTTTATAGAAATGATCATAACTTGTTTTAGCTATAACATCTTACACCCTTGGCTGGCAAAAAAAATACATGAGACTTGCCCCTCACTATCCAGATGGACTCCACAATCTGATACAGTTGTATTGTTTAAAATTGCTACTTTAGTCAAGGTGAAAATATTAAATCTTTCCCTGGCCATCAGCTGCTGCTTTGGGATACAGTCAGGAGCTCCACGTTCACAGGTGCTCTACAAGCATTACATCCTTACAGATTTTATTATGTCATCATTATAATCAGGAACTAGATAAAAGTTTGAGTGTAGATGAGCTGAGCGTATCATCTGTATGTTAATGAACAGGAGCAATAAAAACCTGTGCTGCTTGCATGAACCTCTGTTAAACCTCAGCTATTTCAATGGATTCCTCCTTTGGAGTAATTGAATAGGAACACAGCACATAAACAGTAAGTTTATGCACTGAAAGAAAGGTGTAAACAGTGATTCTGACCTGAAAATGGCAAAATGTCTCTGCTTAGATCCTACTAGCAAAGTAACATGAACTAACAGTGAAACAAGTAACTCAGACCTACCCCTTTGAGATGAGGCAAACTACATTTACATTAGTATTTTAATAGTGTAATGCCAAGGCAGATAAATCTTTAAATTACAACCAGAAATAGTGCATTAAGAGAATCTTATAGTCCATACTGAAATACACGTGTGAATTTACCCGAGCTTAGGTTTCTGCAGAGTTGCTGGAGAAAACATTTTTAACACTGCTGCATCACTAACTGAGAATAATTGAGAAATCCGTAACAGTTTATTGATGAAAAATGCAAGTACAACATACACTTAAATAAAACTAGCTGCTCATCAGTTTAGAACTCCAGTCTTAAAATGGAGACTTTTTATGATACTAAAAAGGAGTTCCTCACTGTTAACAGCAAATGGAAATTTTCATTAGAAATCAGATGACTCCTAGTGGCAAACCAGGAGATGAGACGGGGGAAATTTCAGCTCTCTTCTGAAAATGTATTACCTCTTCTCTTCTGATAAGCCAATCTAAATTCCTCTCCAAGCGTGTTAATGTCATCTTCATCTTTGAGTATTCCCTGCAATAAGGGGAAAGAAACACATGTCAGAAAGTAAAAACAAAGTGGAGAGATTATTATGGATCTCTGAAATTTTCAATGGAAGTGAACGTAATAGCTTGTATCCACGGTACCAGTGTTACCTTTAAAACAAACCACCCTGAAAACCGTCACAAAACTTCAAAAGATGAGTTTCAAATTGGTGTACTTGGTGATAACCTAGAACCGCCTCTTTTGTTCTTCACGCAAATGATTATGAGAACCCATAAAGATTCCAACATGAGCACTATACAAGAGACAACATTTATCTACAGTCTCTTTCTAATAAAAGTGATTATAGTCAGCACAGCATAGGTGCAGGTTTAGTAAAATCAAGCAACTGCACTGAAAAGAGGCACTGGCTGGGGTGGGGCTCTATCTCCACCTTTAGTTGTGTTGAAATTAGTCCATGCAAATAAATTATTTTGGAAATCAACCGATACTGAACAGCTTAATCAGAAACTATGTCTTGAGGAAGGGAAGCAGGGGAACCCAGAAATCTAAATCTCTAACTGAATCTCAGTTAATTTTAGGGCTAAAAATGTGTACAACCCACAGAACATACCTTGCAGCATTTAGAAAAAAATAAATTACAAATTGCATTTAGACCGGAGACTTTAGAATTAGGTAGCTGTCGTGGTTTAACCTCAGTCGGCAACTGAGTACCACACAGCCGCTCGCTCACTCCTCCCCCCGCCCCCGGTGGGATGGGGGAGAGAATTGGAAGAGCAGAAGTGAGAAAAACTCGTGGGTTGAGATAA